TTGGTAAACAGATGTGCACCCCTCCCTGCCTTTTCTTTCCCAGAGCTCTTCACAGCCATGCAGGTTCCTCTTTCAGGACTAATGTCAGGCTTTGGCTCTGCCTTACTGCTGTCCTCTGGGGGTCTCTAAGCTGTTGGGTTGGGTAGCATGGTCAGGAACTCCAGGCTCCACAGTCTACCCCAGCTCATGGAATCAGAACGTTGTTTAGTCCGCCCCTGTGTCGGCACTACCTCTCTGGTAACATGGTGCATGTCCCCTCACAGGGAGGAGTATGGGAAACTGTTTGACTTTGTCAACGCGAAAAAACTCAACATCAAAAACCGAGGATTGAAAGAGGTACTTCTGTGTGGGGAGGATGAGACCCTCTCCTGGTCTTTCTGTAGGGGAGAAAGGGGTGGAGATTTTTTCCGGCTTCTTTTTCACTCTTTCTTCTCTTCTTACCCTTATAGAAAAAAGAGGTGCGTGTGACCCTTTCCCCCTCCTGGTGCAGGTTTCCTCTGCATGACCTTAGACCAGTCTATGCAGCCCCCTCAGGAGCCCCCAGTGGGGCTGGGAGAGGGAGGGGCTTGGGGCTTGGACTAACCCAGTTGGCAGGAAGTACTGGGGCATAGGCCCTGCACGTTGGCTGTGTGTGGACAATCCAGCCCCAGGTCTTCTGGGAGCTGCTGCTCTGACTTGACAGGCATGGGGGTGTGCTTTTGAGTGTGCAGGGATTCTGGCTCGAGGGTGAGTTGGCCCCACTGTGAACTCTTCCCTGGCTAGGGCATGAACCCAAGCTACGACGAATATGCCGACTCTGATGAGGACCAGCATGATGCCTACTTGGAGAGGATGAAGGAGGAAGGCAAGATCCGGGAGGAGAATGCCAACGACAGCAGCGATGACTCGGGAGAAGAAACCGGTGGGTTAGCCTCCGTGCTGAGCACGAGGATGGTCAGATGTTCCTTGCTGTGGCCCGGGCTGGACTCACCCTTGGGCCAGAGCTGGTGCCTGGGTGAGGGGGTGGGGATTTCCACTGGGGCAGAAGCTGATGCATCCTGTGCCCTTTTTCAGATGAGTCATTCAACCCAGGTGAAGAGGAGGAAGATGTGGCAGAGGAGTGAGTTTTGGTGGTACCTTGTGGGGATAAGATGGTGACCCATAAGCTTAAAGGACCAGAAGATTTCTGGACATTTCTCATGTCCCAGCGTTAGCTACTGACCCGGAATGGGAGAGTGACCTCCAATGAGGTGATACACAAAATGTTTTGGAGATTGTCAAGGGCTTCGTAAGTGCAAGGCACATTTTGAAGTCAGAAAAGTATAGTGGGGTCTATGGCCATACCACCCTGAATATGCCAGTCGGGGCTGGTTCGTAGTTGGATGAGGAGAGAATGGGAATGAGAGCTGGTGCTTGTCACTTATTTCCTGGAGGTTGTCGAGTAAGTCATTGAATCTCAATTTCCTCATCGGTAGAAATGCAGTAGTACCGACTTTTTATTAGCAGTGTCAGAAATGTGACTCACTCTCACTTTAAAAGGAAATATATAAAAGGGAATTTCATAAGTTCATGTTACTGCAGAGTCTGGGGATTTAATTGACTTCAGACACTACTGGATTCAGGCACTCAAATCTATTTCTTCTGATTTCCGTAATTCAAAATAGGTTTGCCCCATAGAGTGCCCAGTGACTCTTAGAAGCTCAGGGCAGGCTTAATCCTACTGGTTTAAAACAACACCAGAAGCGCCTCTTTTGGTGAACAGCATAGTGAACACAGTGGTTACCTGCCCCTTCCTAGCCTGAGTTGTTAGGATGGGCCAGGGTCTGATGGGCCAGAAATAGGCCAAGTGCCCACCCTTAGAGCCTGTGGTTGGGGTGAGCCCTTCCTGAGTGGGGGCAAGGTGGTTCCCAACAGAAAATTGGGACTCTGCTCTCTTAATCCAGAAGGATTGTAAAAGAATGTCAGGCAGCAAAAAAACAACCAACAGGAGTCCCCTAGTTTAGCCTGCCACATGTTTATGAAGGTGTATGAAAGCTTCATGAGCAAATACTTGTGAAAGTGCCTTGAAAACTGTCCAGCAGCATACAGGTCTAAGGTAGTTTCATTTTTTGAGGAGTTTCACATATATCAGATAAGACTGTCAATTACAGGGGTGGGTACTGGGTTGGACTTAAGTTGGTTTTCTTCTTTTTGTAGTAACTGATTATCTTTTCATCAGAAAAGACTGTAGGGGCCGATCCTTTTGTAGTTCATAAGCATGATGGTTGGGTGTTACGTGCGTGTGTGCAATGTGCCACCCTCCAGCCTTGTTATGATGTTGACACATTACCCATCTGACACGAAAAAAAAAAAGACAAAAAAGACTATAGGGTAGATTAAGGTGATTACTCCGAAGGAAGTGGTGAAGTGGATTTGGGCCATGTTCCAGGCATGAATGAGGCAGTGTTTCTGCCCGTGGTGTCCTGGGAATGGACTAGGACCTGGTTTGGCTATGCCCAGGGAGATCAGCTGAAGCTCACTGATTGATTTTCATTCATTAATTCTGATCAAGTAACCCATTGCTGTGGCTGGGTCTGGAGAGGGCATGGCTGAAGCCACCTCAGTGAATGGGAGGAAGCAGTGTTGGGGATTGGTGGTGGATCCTGTCCTCTGGTCTTCTTCCCTTGACCCTTTTGGGTGGGTATCTTTGGATTTGTTTTCCTCCTGCCTTGAGGCCATGGGGTCCTGTCTTCCCTCCTCAAGTCTAAGCCTGGCTTGCTCTCTGGCAGGTTTGACAGCAATGCCTCTGCCAGCTCCTCCAGTAATGAAGGTGACAGTGACCGGGATGAGAAGAAGCGGAAACAGCTCAAAAAGGCCAAGATGGCCAAGGACCGCAAGAGCCGCAAGAAGCCTGTGGAGGTGCAGACTGTAGATGGGAGGGGCTGTGTGTGGTGCAGTGGGCGGGGGTGGGGAGGGGGGGAGGCATTCTCTTTACCTTCTCCTGTCCACCACCGGTAGGACCTGTTCATTGGTCTTCCTTGGGGCTGTTTTTTGTAGCCAGTGATTATAGCCTTGAGGGGTATCTTCTTGGAAATTGTTCTCACTAGCCCTGAGATTAATAAGCTTCTGGAAGGTCTGAATTAGGAGATGGGCTTCTGTCCTGGTAAGCTAGGCACTGAATTGCAGAGGGGAAGGAGATACTATCCTTGCTCTTAGGGAGTGCGCGTCTCGCCTGATGCTATTTAGTCCTCTACTATTTCTCCAAGTTAAGTGATCTAAATAATTTATTTGGGAAAATGTATGGGTCCTATGGGAAATAGCTGAAGGCGTTTGGGCTCTTATGCAGGTGAAGAAGGGCAAAGACCCCAATGCCCCCAAGAGGCCCATGTCTGCGTACATGCTCTGGCTCAATGCCAGCCGAGAGAAGATCAAGTCAGACCATCCTGGCATCAGCATCACAGATCTTTCCAAGAAGGCAGGCGAGATCTGGAAGGGAATGTCCAAAGAGAAGAAAGAGGTGAGTAGCAGCAGAGGAGGGGTGATGCCTCTCATGGGCTGGCGAGAGGTGCTCTCTTGGCATGGTGAGTCCCATGACTGATAGGGGAGCAGTATGAGCCATTGGTGGGACTTTCTGTATCGATTTTGCCTGCATCAGGGGAGAGGGGAGACGGGAGAGGTCTTATTCTTCACTGTTTTTTTCTGTGTGTGTGAGACAGGAGTGGGATCGCAAGGCTGAGGATGCCAGGAGGGAATATGAAAAAGCCATGAAAGAATATGAAGGGGGCCGAGGCGAGTCTTCTAAGAGGTGAGTGTCGAGAACGTGGCCCAGTCACTGATTTTTGTGGCAGGTTTTTTTTTGTTTGTTTTTTGTTTTTTATACAGGCCAAAGTTGAGCATTGGAAAGTTAAAGACAGCAGATATGCTTCTGACTGCAGTAGGGTAGTGCTTCTCAAACCTGGGTAGGCCGTTGCCCAAGTATGGGTGATACGATAGGGCATTCAAGTCACTGGGGAAATATGGCCCATTTTCATGGACTATTTTATTTGAAGGTATGGGGGAATGAAAAAGCTATTATGGAGTGCAGTGCACAATTCACATGAACTTTTATACAGCAAGAAATGTCAAGTAGGTTTTGCATATGGGGCTGCTTTAGCCTATGCCCTCTGATTCTTCTGGTGTACTCATGATACTCTCCCTTGGTGCCCTTCAGGCTGACATGGCTATTTACGTTCAGAGTGAAATGGGCTGTGTGGCTGGGATTGAGAAAGGCCTTGTTAAAGCTGGGAGAGGTTTGGTCATGGTGATAGGGGACCTGGAGGCCTAGCTCGTCTTCCCTCTTGCCAATACAGGGACAAGTCAAAGAAGAAGAAGAAAGTAAAGGTAAAGATGGAAAAGAAATCCACGCCCTCTAGGGGCTCATCATCCAAGTCATCCTCAAGGCAGCTAAGCGAGAGCTTCAAGAGCAAAGAGTTTGTGTCTAGTGATGAGAGCTCTTCGGGAGAGAACAAGAGCAAAAAGAAGAGGAGGAGGAGCGAGGTGCGGCAGGAATGTGGGGGCTGTGGGCTGGGCAGCGTGAGGGGCATGTGTGTCTGTGTGGGGTTGGTCTGTAAGAGTAATGAGTTGGAGTGAATGGTGGAATTCTGAGGTTCTGAAGGTGGGTGCTGTAGTTGGGAGGCGGTAGGGGATTGCGGGCCCTTCACTGAAGACTGGGTGGGGCACCCAGGACTCCACCTTTTCCCTGAAGACACCTTTGGTTTTCAGGACTCTGACGAAGAAGAACTAGCCAGTACTCCCCCCAGCTCAGAAGACTCAGCGTCAGGATCCGATGAGTAGAAACGGAGGAAGGTTCTCTTTGCGCTTGCCTTCTCACACCCCCAGACTCCCCACATTTTGGTACCAGTTTCTCCTCATGAAATGTAGTCCCTGGATTCTGTGCCATCTGAACATGCTCTCCTGCTGGTGTGTATGTCACTAGGGCCGTGGGGAGACTTCTTAACTCTGCTGCTTCCCAAGGATGGCTGTTTATAATTTGAGGAGAGAGAGGGTGGGAGGCAGGGCAACGCAGGATCAAAATCCTCATCTTACTTTCCCGACCTTAATTAAGGATGTAGCTGCTGCTGGTCCTGTTCAAGTTGCTGGAGCAGGGGTCATGTGAGGCCAGGCCTGTAGCTCCTACCTGGGGCCTATTTCTACTTTTATTTTGTATTTCTGGTCTGTGAAAATGATTTAATAAAGGGAACTGACTTTGGAAACCATGTCTTTATGCTTTCTTTGTAGCCCTGGTTTGTTGCTCCTACTTTTATTGGTGGTGGTTACTGCCCTGGTCAGACTAGGCAGAGCCTGGCCAGCCGGGAAGCAAGTCTCGAGGCACATCCTGTTCTGTTCCCGGCTGGAGAAGCATTGGTTTTCACCCGCCTCTGCCCGGATGGGCCACCTGAGAATCTAGAAATGAGAGCTGATCTGATTAGGAAGTCTCTCCCGGTTACACTCCATTAGCCAACCAAGCTAGGGGCAGGCAGCTCTTGGCCACATCCTTACCTATGAGTCAAGGGTCTTCCAAGGCTTTAGATAATGAAATCAGGATTGACTGTCCTTCCCGCAGCCGGGGGAGTGGAAACGTGAGCCTGGAGAGTCGGCGAGGATGAGCGTGTGTGTAGGGTGGTGGTGGTTGCAGCCTGGTGGGGAGTGCAAGAAAAGTACGGAGTATATGTGAAGCTTTTGTTCTTACGGGAAGAAGGGGGGGATACAAACTTTAGTGTAGGGAGGAACCCATGTCTGAGAAGGGGCCTGAAAGGAGATAAAGGTCACTACCGAGGAAAGCAGAGCTGCCAGACTTCCTCACCGTGGCTCTAAATCTGAAGTGACACAGGAGGGGTGGCCACGTTGCGCGCGTTCTCAGCACTCAGGTGGCTGTACCAGGAAGCCGCTCCAGTCCGCCGGCGGCTACCTTCTTGCCGGCGTAGCTCGATGGTACTGCACTCCGTGCAGGCGGCGGGGCCCGGGAGGGGCCGCCAAGGCAGTCTCTCTAGGCAGCCGTCTCGGTGTCCATTTTACCCGAGCGCCCCCGGCTGAATTGCGTCAGTTTCGCCCCGGTCTGAGCCTGGGGCGGGCCCCTCATCTGCAAGCCTCATGAATAATTGAGTACTGGGCCGCGCCTGTTTGCCGACGGTGGGACGAATTCTGCACGGGCTTCCAACTCCCGGGTTCCACCGGCTCATGCATATTCATGAAGCGCCCTGGGGGCGTGGGCCTGGGCGGAGCTAGGGGCGGGGCCCCGCCGGGGCTCACAGTGGCTTCGTCCCGCGGTGACGGCGGCGGCGGCGGTAGCAGCGGCGGCGGCGGCGGCGGCGGGGACTGGCGTCGGGGCGCCGAGCCGAGCGGAGCCGGATCCCGGGCGAGCGCGTGAGTGCGCGGGGGCGGGCGGGCGAAGGAGGGGGCGGGGTCCGGGATGGGGCGGGGGAGGGGCATGGAAGGAGTGGGCGCTTTCCAGCGGAGACCTCGGGTTGAGGTGGTGGTGGTGAGGGGGTCACCAGGAAAGTTTGCAGGGGCTGGGGGCGCTGGGGACGCTGGAGGCCCGGGGAAAGCTGGCGCGTGTGCGCGGGGGCGGAGGGCGCATGGTCTGGAGCTCGTGCTGGCGGAGCCAGAAGAAAGGGGGGAGGGGGCGAGGGCTTGGGGCGGGGCCGGGGGCGGGCAGAGCCGCTGGAGGGACCCCTGCCTCCCCTTCCCCTGGGCCGCGCTAGCCCCCTCCCCCGGCTCCTTCGGCACGCCCCCAGCCACCCCAGTCCGCCCCCACCTGATCGGCGTCTGCAGCCCACCGTCTGTTCGCCGGCTGCTTCACAGCCCGCTCACAGGTCCTCCGCTTCTGCCGCCACCGCCGTCCCCTCCTCCTCCTCCATCCTCTTCTCCTCCTCCTCTTCGGCTGCCGCCGTCCCTTCTGTGTCCAGAGCTCCCCACTGGGCCCCTCCAGACAGCCCATTGCCCAGGGCTGTTCCATCTTCCCGTTGGCCCTCCCTCTTTCCACCAGTTTGTGTGCTGTCCCTGCCGACCTCTCTAGCCTCCGATCCGGCTGGAGATCCTGCGGTCCATAGGGGCGACCCCGCCTGCGCCGAGTCCCCTCTGGGGCTGGAGCTGCCCAGCCCTTCTGGAGGCCTTATCTGCCAGGGGTCAGCTCGTCTCTACCCCGCTACCCTCTACCTCCTGGTCTTTTGGGGGTGGGGAGTGCTCAGATCCGCTGCGATTTTGCAGCTTCTGGCCACAGCCTTGGTGGCCTTGCTCACCTGGGGCTCCTGGCTGGGGTCTCTGAGTTGCTGTGGCCACCTCCGCATCTGGGGACTCTGAGCCCGCCTTCATTGCTGCAGCCCCTCATACCGCAGAGGGGCCCATCAGAACCCCAGGTGAAAGGATTTTTTTGATTCTGAGCCAATTCATTTCCATGTCCAACCACCCACACTATGTCCCTAGTAATAATGTTCAAGGACAAGGAAACAATCTTGTGTTTTAATTTTATTTTTTCTATTATGTGCCCCTCCCCCCACCACACTTGGCCTGGCTCTGCAGTTATTCACCCACCTACAGTGGGCAGTCTTCCGTGGTGGTTGACTGACCAGTGGGTTGACAGTACTGGGTTTCTCTACAGTCTTCATACCCTTTCCCATCTTTGAAATCCCTGGGGCAGGGTTAGCCTTAGGGAAGAGGAGTTGGATTTTGCAGAGGTTGAGCACTGGGATTTGGTGCTGTCTTCCCAGACCAGCTGGAGTGGGTGATTTTAAGTGAGGCAATGCCCCTTGCAAAGGTTGGAGAGGGTTGGGTTGTCCTCAGGGCTCTGCACACCGGGTGAGGGAAACTTCCCCCTTGCATGAGAGGTGCAGGGCCCTATTCCCCAGGGTCTCCATGTTTTTGTGGGTGGGAGAGTGCTTCAGGAGCCAGGATGGGAACTGAGGAGGTGGTGGAGTATCTGAAGAACAGGTGACAGGACTAGGGCCTGGGAGAGTGAAGGAATGGTCTGGGAATGCTGGTAGCCTGGGGTCACAGAAGAGGAGGAGGTGGTTATCAGGATGTTAGCTCATTGGTGACACTGAATGGAATGACAGTAATCATAGGCAACGTTTATTGAATCCTTATTATGTACTAGTCATTGTGCTAAGCAGTTTTCATGTACTATATCACGTAAGCCCCCTCAGGGTCTCAATAATCCCATTTTTCAGTTGGAGACACTGAGGCTTAGAGAAGTCACACGGCTAGAAAGTGGTAGACCCATCCAGCCTTGAATCTTGGTATATCAGACCCTGAAGCTCCTGTGGCAGGCTTCTACCACAGGGCTGTGCCACTTGGTTTAATTTCTTCTGTTCCCCTCAGAACTCCTTAAAGCCAACCCTAGGCTGGTGAGTGAAGCCCACATAGCCCCTTTTCATAGGCTGTGGCTGTTCCACCCTGACTCTCTTGGAAGGTGGAGCCCCAGGGAATTTTCCCTCAAGTCACTCCACCCCCCGGATATTCTCAAGCCCTGTCCCGTTGTCCCAGCCCAGGCCTGGGCCAGCTCCTCCTTCCTCTTGGCTAGGCTCTGGAAATCCAGTGGGAGGCCATTGCTATGGCAACAGGACTAGGCCCTGGCTTTACCTCATCAAATTCCAAGCTGAAGCCAAGTGATTGAGAAATTAAAGAAAAAAATATATTCCAGATGTTTACTTTTTATTCCTTATTTTTCCGTGTTTGGATGAGACAGCTCTGAGGGAGGGGAGAGTGAGGCAGGGATGTGGAGGGAGAACGGGGAGAGGGGGGAGAAGGAACCACTCCCAGCTGCGGGAGGGAGGGAGAGAGGGAAGGAGGGTGAGCGGGAAGGGGGAGGCAGGCAATGGGGCGGAGCCCAGGTTGGGGAGGAGCGGGTTTTTCCCGTCTCCCGTGAGGTGACTCACAGAGACTTCATACTTTGCAACTCTCTAGCTCTGCTTTGGGTAGACACCTCCAGCGGGGCCGTCCTACCCAAGGGGCACTCTGGGGACTGTAAGTGGGGTGTCTTGGAGAGTTTGTCAGAGGAGGGAACAGTGAGTGACTCCCTGAAGCGCTAGGACTTTGGGGTTAGAAGATAAGAATGGGGAGGATCTGGGAAGAGTTGAGGATATGGCTGCTGGGAACCTCCCTTGACCTCCTCCACTCTCCCCACCCCCCCACCCCCTGCCCCAAGTTCTCTTCCTGTCCCACACTCTGCCTCTGCTAGAAATAGGAGACTTCTCTCTGCTAAACCTACTGGCAACGCCCAACTCTTTTTTTTCCTTCTCTTCTCTCTCTTTTCCTAGGTCTGCAGCCACCCCGGCTCATACCTCTCTGTCTCCCAACTCTCAAGGAGGATCTGCCGCATGTAATGAAAGTGTCTACTCTCAGGGAAAGCTCAGCCATGGCTTCCCCACTGCCCCGGGAGATGGAGGAGGAGCTGGTGCCTGCTGGCTCGGAGCCAGGTACCAATGGGTGCAGGGTGGAGCTGGGTGGCTGGGAGGGGGTGGGAAGGGCAGAGGCTGCCCCCTCTCTCTGTCTTGGGGAGTGGTTGAGTGATGGTTCTGTTGAGATAGAGAAGGAGTACCAAGGCAGTGCAGGATGAGTGTGAAAGGTTCTCAGCTTCTCTTGAGACTCTTCAGAACTGTTTGGGATCATAACTTTCTAACAGGTGTAAGAGTAGACAGGGACCTTTGAGATGATACAGATCAAGCTGCATGCTTTGCAGAGGGGGAAACTGAGGCCCACAGGGACAAATGGAGTGTACAAGTGGGATTTTGAACCCAGACCTCCTGGCTCCTTGCATAGACTCTTTTCTTATATTTAGCCAAATGTGTAGGAGGTAAAGGATTCCATCAGGAGCGTAGTGGATGAGGTTACTTCCAAGGTCATTTAGCTTTATATAGAAGGTAGGTTTCTGGTCCTGTTTTTTTATTTTTTCTCCCTGTAGCAGATTTACTTTTGTTTGACTTAGGTCAATAGTAAGTTTGCATTCCCAGTCACACACCAGATGACAGTGGGGAGGTGGCCTGGGAGTGTGCTATGACTAGGGGAGGAGGCAGCCTGGAAGCAGGATAGAGAAGCTCAGCTGAGATTGAAAGTTTACTATGGTTGATAGAGAAGAGTGTCACATGAGGTGAACAAACTAGATTGGGAATATGGGGGCTGACTGCTTGATAGGGGCAGGCAGGCATTTGTCTGTTGTCTCTTTTGTTCATTCATTCTTTTGTTTGATTATAACTTATAATTAAACTTATGTTAGCTGCAAAATACAGTACAGGAAGAAATAAGGTGCCAGGTGGGTCCTTACATAGCTTCAGCTTAAAAGGGGAATTGGCTAAAACATTTTGGGAGTTTGAAGAAGGGAGAAGATGCTTCTGGGATGTGTGTAGAAAATCAAGGAAGGCTTCACGGAAGAGGTGGCATATGACTTGTGTCTAGAAAGATGGGAATATTCTTAAATTGGAGGGTGGGAGATGAGGTGGAACAGGAAACAAAGAAGTTCTGCTTCCTGGTTCTTCTGACAGCTCCCCTGCCAACCCTTTCCTTTTGGTAGGTGACACTCGGGCCAAACCCCCTGTCAAGCCCAAACCCCGGGCCCTGCCTGCCAAGCCAGCCCTGCCTGCCAAACCCAGCCTGCTGGTGCCTGTTGGGCCTCGGCCTCCCCGGGGTCCCCTGGCTGAGTTGCCTTCTGCCAGGAAGATGAACATGCTGGCAGGACCCCAGCCCTATGGTGGCAGCAAGCGCCCGCTTCCCTTTGCACCAAGGCCTGTGGTTGAGGCCTCCACTGGAGGAGAAGCCATCCAAGAGACTGGGAAAGAGGAGGCTGGGAAAGAGGAGCCACCCCCTTTAACACCCCCAGCTCGATGTGCCGCCCCAGGGGGTGTACGGAAGGCCCCTGCCCCTTTCCGCCCAGCCTCAGAGCGCTTCGCAGCCACCACGGTGGAAGAGATCCTGGCCAAGATGGAGCAGCCTCGGAAGGAGGTCCCTGCCAGCCCTGACCGCCTGTGGGGTTCCCGCCTCACCTTTAACCACGATGGCAGCTCGCGGTATGGCCCCAGGACCTATGGCACGACCACTGCTCCCAGGGATGAGGATGGCAGCACCCTCTCCAGGGGACGGTCCCAGGAGGAGCCAGTAAAGCCTGCAGCCAAGTGCCAGGAAGAGCACAGCAGGACCCCTGAGGAGAGGTGAAGGGCGGGAGG